ACGTAGATGGCGAGCCGAGAGAGAGAGAGAGAGAGAGAGAAGGGGGCGCGGCCTGCAGGACGAGCGGGAGGAGGACCGGGAGAGGAGGGAAGAGGAGGAGCAATGGGAGGAGGAAGAGCCGGAGGAACAGCAGGAGGGGGAGCGGGAGAAGGACGATCCATCATCTGTTGTTGTTAAGCGGTGTGAAAGGGAGGAGCGGGAGAGGAGGGAAGAGGGGGAGGAACAGGGGGAAGAGGAGGAGCAGCACGAGGAGGAGGAATAGCGGGAGGAGCAGGAGCGGSAGAGGAGGGAAGAGGGGGAGGAGCAGGGGGAGGAGGAGGAGCAGCACCAGGAGGAGGAATAGCGGGAGGAGCAGCAGGAGGGGGAGCCGGAGGAGCAGCGGGAGGAGGAGGAAGAGCGGGAGGAGCAGCAGGAGGATGATCCATCATCTGTTGTTATTAAACGATGTCAAAGGGAGAGAGACAGAGAGAGAGACTTTTCCAGCCATGCACGCAGAGAGACAGAGAAAGGCTACTTCCATCCATAGGATAAGCAAAATCCGAATGAACCAGACACACACACACACACACACACACACAGAGAGAGAGAGAGAGAGAGAGAGAGAGAGAGAGTTGGAATGGCCTTTTGGACTGACATGTTTGTGTTATGCCCCTGTCAGGTGCATGTGCAAATTTGCTTGGACTCTTGCATTGCACCTACAAAAACTCGGTGACTGCCAGCCCGTTTTGCTAAGTTGGGCAGCGTCCACTAGGGGTACATTGCAAAGATGGGTCCAACTGATGGCTGGGGTGTTTCGCAAAATGTTTTTGCCTTCATCCGCTGCGGCGGGTCCACTTGTTTTAATACAAAGTCCAGGTACCAGTGTTTCATTTTTGGGGGGTCGGTAACAAAACCCAAGGCTTGGCTCCATTGGTACACCTTTGAAATGTGGAAACTCGTATCTGAGTTTGAAGTCCCCTGGAAGCAGACGAGTGAAATACGATAACTCTGAATTACCTGGGCCCAATTGGCCCGATGTTGATATCAAGGCCGTTGCCTGTGAAGCAGTCATTTGGGACATCCGTTAAAATTGGAACGATATAGAGAAGATTAGCATGACCCGGCTCAAGAAGAAGTAATCGCGACTTATTGGAGCTTCCCAAGTACCTGCCCGTGTGTGCCATTCCTTACTTAAGGTACACGGTTGTAATGGGGAAGGTTGATATTTCATACCAAGTTCACAAAACGCGGAGAGACCGGCATGCGTCGGCAAGCGGGGAAGCACATGCTGGTTACAAAAGAAGTTGACGAAGGGAGAACGAGAGGGAGAGCGGTTGTGCCTGGTGTGAGGCTGCATTAGGCGCATGCACTTACCCCTGTTCTAGCGGTTCATTCTCATTTTGCACAAATCGGTGAGCACTGGAGCGCGACGTAGCCTCGCGCACCATTGAGGGTGATCGTGTTGGTGGTGCTCGTCTTTGTCGAAGCATTCCTCGTCATCATACACTTTATCCATGTGCCTGCCTGCCATCTCGGTGATGCTCCTCAATCGTAGAAGTCTTCTTCAATGTCTCGGTCTACTTCCTTGCCAGGCGACCTTCTCATTCAACTCGTGATCTTCGTTGCCCTTGAATCTCGGTCCTCATCTTCGCCCTGCACGCCTCGGCCATCGTCGGCCATCGTCGCCACGCTATCATTGCCATCGTGCTGCTAAGTTGTGATCTTCATGAACGTGCTCTTCAAACACGGTGGCGCCGTTCTTTTCTAGTACGACCATTGTCGTTCATTCATCTAGGGGGAATCATGATTAGTTGCCCTTGGATCTCGGTCCTCATCTTCGCCCTGCACACCTCGGTCATCGTCACCACGCTATCATTGCCATCAAGCTGCTAAGTTGTGATCTTCATGAATGTGCCCTTCAAACACGGTGGCGCCGTTCTTTTCTAGTACGGCCATCATCGTTCATTCGTCTAGGGGGAATCACGTGTACATGTCGGTATGTGCGCAGAGAGAGAGAGAGAGAGAGAGAGAGAGAGAGAGAGAGAGAGAGAGAGAGAGAGAGAGAGAGAGAGAGAGAGAGAGAGAGAGAGAGAGAGAGAGAGAGAGAGAGAGAGAGAGAGAGAGAGAAGGTGGGAAAGAGGAGGAAAAAAAAGGGGCTTACCTTCCTTGATTGGTGACGCTGCGCTGTGTCAGACAGAGCTGGGCAAAAGGAGGATTGGACGGGATGACCAAAATTGGCGGAAGATTCAATCTCATTTTGCACATTTTGGTAATTAGTTGTGTAGTGATCATTGTCATCCTCCTTGCAACCGTGGGGATCTTCTTCTTAGTAGTTGCAGTGGTAGTGCTCGAGGTTCTTGTCGTTATGGTGATCACATACGAGGATGCATCTTCCCATGATCTAGCGGAAGATGCATACTCATTCTGCCGTTTTGGAGGCGGGCACAGTAGCGTGGGAGACTGGTGATGTATCTTCCCATGTTCTAGTGGAAAATTCATTCTCATTTCACACATCCAATCGGAGGTCACACCGCTGCTCGTATTCGCCATTGCGACCCCGATCCTACGTTATCTTCGAGGCGCATTTTCGTCGTAGTGGTCATCGTGGTATCCGTCTTCGCCGTGGTGCTCATTGGGATGATCTCGGTCGTACTGCTCATACACTCCCTTTTCAAGTCGAGGTCGCCGCGTTGATCTCCACACTCGTCTGTGGCCTCCATCCCGTTAACGCCCGATCGCAATCCTCTTCCTGTCGAGTTTGAGTGAACCGGGAATAGCCTAGTTGATCTCAGGTCGGGCAGGAGCACCCACCCAATTTAAGCATCTCTTCCTGCTGATTGTTACACACCCTGATCGCAATCCTCTTCCTGTCGAGTTTGAGCAAACCGGGAATAGCCCAGTTGATCTCAGGTCGGGCACGAGCACCCACCCAATTTAAGCATCTCTATACATACTAAAGGATGGAGAGGGCCCGACGACATGCCCTGTCGCGGGCCCAGCGAAAATGTCGGGAGCCGGGCGGGACATGGAGGAGGCCGGAACCGGCCAGCGGGACCGCAAATGTAGAGGCGGGGTCTAGGCCTCAGCGGGGTCCAGGCCTCAGCGGAGGATATCGGGCCGCTCGTGAGATCCGCGCGCGGGGACACGGCGCACAAAATCCTGTGATCAGCGTGCGGGTATGCGCGTAGAGGATATCGGGCCGCGCGCGGGTATTCACGCAGGGAATAGCTAGGTGGGTACGCGGTGCACAAAACCCTGCTATCACACGCGGGTAAGCGCGCAGGGGATAGCGGGCTTGGCGGACGCGGGTGCCAAAAGTGAAGCGGCCCTCGTGCGCGTCTGAGTAGCCGTTCAGGGCCGTTCGGGGCAACATGGCCGCGGGCACAACGTGCAGCAGGATGGTCGCTTGTCGATGAATGGCTATGCCGAATGTGGGAAACCTGGGGAGGGGTCATCTGCAGTTCGCTGAAGTCAAGGGCAACGGCGCCTGTCACTCGCCGCGCCCGCTTCCGAGGTCCTCAGCAACCAGCAGGGAGCAGACTTGGTATTGTCCTGTCTCGATGTCTCTCAAGGTCACCAGCGGGGGCGGTTTGTGTGTGCCTGGACGAAGTTCGATTCTGAACGATCGTCAATACAACCCATGCCCCAATACAAGACTCTATTTACTACGATCAACAAATACAGCTGCGGTTAAAATCCGGCCCCTGTTCATTGTGATTAGCAAAGCAACAGCAATTGAAATATGAGTCCTTGTTCATTGAGATCTGCAAGAATAACAGCAAGTGCAAAGGAATCCCTGCTCATTGAGGTCTGCAAGAGCAACAGTAAGTAAAAACGAGTCCCTGCTCACTTTGATCACCGAGAGTTGCAGCGGAATAAAGCAAGGCCCGACTCAATGGGTTTCAGGAAAAATTACCGTTCAGTCAAAGGGCCAGCCAATCACAGCCCTGAAGAATCTGCCCTTTCTGAGCGGGAACCAGTC